ACCTGAACACTTCTTTGGAAAGGGATCAATCAGAAAAAAGGTCACAACAAAATGAAGAAAGCCAAAGGTTCATGTGGGATACCATCAAAAGGAATAACCTACATGTCATCTGAATTCCAGAACAGGAAGAGACAAATAAAACCACAGAGAAAACTGTCGAAGATTTGTTGGAAGAGAATTTTCCTGGTATGATGAAACATGAGGATATATCCATTCAGGAAATCCAACGAACCCCAAACAGGATAGACCCCAAAAGAAAATCACCCAGGCATATCATCATCAAATTTTTCTGCATGATTTCTGCTGAGAAATCCGAGCTTAGTCTTATTGGTTGCCCCTTGTAGGTAACTTTTTGTTTTTTCCATGCTGTTCTCATGATTCTTTGTCTTTGGTTTTGGTAAGCGGAAGAATGGATGACCAAACTATGGTCCATACACATAATGGAATGCTATGCAGCACTAAAGAATAATGTAGAGTCTGCAAAACACCGCATAATATGGATGAACTTGGAGGACATTATGCTGAGTGACATAAGTCAATCACAGAAGGACAAATATAGTATCAGTTCATTGTTGTTGAGAGTCAAAGAAAGGTTTATATATGGAGGGAAACTTTCTTTGTTAGTTGCCAGGAGTGGGAGGGAAGGAGAGGGAACACTGCAAAAAAAAAAAAAAAAAAAATGCATTGACCTGTGCCACTTTAGTTTTGTGTATTTCACTATACATAAATTATATTTCAATAAAATGCATTAAAAAGAAAAAGAAAAAAACACTTCTTAGCATCATGCACGGCGCACAGTAACTCGGTGAATGTTAGTGGCTGCTATGGTTTGATTTCTGTCTTCCAGCTGGTGTGCGAGTGCCTGGGGACAGAGACCATGCCTCCATTCCCAGGACCCTGGACTTTGCTTGTGATGCAGGCTATGTCATGAATATCCATGGCCAAAGAACGACTCCGTCTTACCTCACATTTGATGTTCACTTGCAGATTTGTCAGCAAGCGTTGGACTTTCTCTATGAATATGAGGTCCACGGACAGATTATGGAATTTACTTTCAAACTTACTGATGACATCATTGGCCTGTCGAGAGAGAAGAAAAGCAAAGGGAAGGTCTTAAGTTAGATTTTTTTTTTTTTTTTACTTTAGAAGTGGAGGTGGAAAGGCTTAAGTAATGGTTGAAAGGGGGCCTTGACCCTCCCATCCAACACTGAAAAAGGCCACCCACCACCTCACAGCCCAGTGTCCCGGGAGCCTAGCTGAGGGCTTCGGGCAGGGTCACCCACCTGGTCCAGGTATTCACTCTCCATTTTCTCCATGTTGGTCATGATTAGACTCTCAACAAACTCTATCCGGGAGCCTTCTTCCTCCAGCCTGTTACGCAGCGAGTCTATCTCTTCAGCAGAAAAGTTGCCTCCCTCCGAAAACAATCTGAAAATTATTTGGGAGAAATAAAAGCCACTGATGAGCCCTGAGAAGTACCCGCCTTTCCCAGATCCTGGGGTTGCCCAGGCTGCAGACTAACAGCTTCAGACCGTGGGAAAATGGATGCCGGCAACTCGGGTAAGGGAGCAGGAATCTATAAATGATGGACAGTGTCTACTTCTGCCAGTTGGTTGGATCAGGTATCCTGTCAGACCCCATGCAATAATCAATGCAGGGTGACATTTAGGTAAAAGCCATTTTCTCTGGGCATCAAAGTCAGAACTCGCAGAGCCCCAGATGAGCAGGGAGCCCTATGGAACCAGGGTGAGTGTGGAGATGGCTTTCAGCCTGGAGACTTCAATGGTGGCACAGGGAGAGAGACAGTGTAAGGCTGAAGCCCAGAGGACCAGACTTCTAGGAGATGGGGGAACTGGAAATAAATGCCATCAGATACCAGAGGCTGGTCCTTCTAGATCCAAAGACAAGGAGGGACAGCAGTTTGTCCCTGATAACTTATAACCACAAGCCACCCTTCAGAAACATTGCAAACAGAATCCATATTCTCTTGGGGGTTCTGAAGAACCACAAGCTGAGAATTCTAGATGGTCTGGGGAGGTAGGGACCCCAGCTGCCTGGCACGAGCAAACGAAACTCTCTCAGGAGGAACTTGGGCTAAGAGAATCGCACAGATAAAACTCCAAGGAAAACAAGCAGGGAAAAAATCACAAGGAAACTATGGTGTGGCAAATTCCATAGTGTGGCTTTTCTAGCCATAAGTCTTTGTAAACTCCATGGTGGAATTTGCTGTGAGCAACTGAGTAGCTCCTGAATGTTAAAGTCATCCACCTGGGGTATTTCTGTTGTGAGCAGCACAAAGTAATTTTCTGGGAAGTTTGCTCTATCGGGTGTATATAGAATTCTGACGTTGGTTGGATTGGTTGGTTTGAGCCACTGCCAGGCTCAAAAGGGGCCCTCCTAGAGGCAGAAGGAATTTCTCACTGCTGGCTGAGAGACACGAGAGACACACATTACTGAGAGATGCAAGAGACATGTACTGCTGACACCGAGAGACATACACTGCTGAGAGAGACTGAAGAGACTTGCCTGAGAGACAGCAGGCTGCGAGAGACAAGTGCATTTCTGAACTTGAACTGTAGCCTGTTGCTTCCCTAATAAACCCCATAACCTTGTGAGTTCTGTGTGGCCACTGCAGCGAATTACTGAATATAGCAGAGAGGTGGTGGGTGCTGTGGGAGGAATGGATGGTGAAAGGGTTGGAGGGAGGCAGCACGTCTGGCCCCGCAGGAATAGGCCTTGGGCTAGTGATATGATTCTGTCTTCTTCCTGTGGGGTTAGAGGAGGTCAAAAGATGTGGCCTCCCTGCCCCTTTGGCAGAAACAAAATGCCATGAGTGCAAATCAGTACAAAGGAGACAGAAACAGACCACAGAAACCTTAGATACTGGAATTATTAGGCACAGACTATACAGTAACTAAGATTAATATGGTGAAAGAAATAAAAGTGAAGTGTGAACAGACGAGAGCAAGCTGTTTTCAAACAGGATCAATGTAACTAGAAATGAGATCTGCAATAATTAAAATGAAAAACTCAGTGAATGAATTCATCAGGAGACTAAACCTAGCAAGGTGCTGATGTATAACTAAGGACAGCGTGGAGATGACAGCCAGATAAACTATGAGGGCAGGGTGCAGCAACGGGTGCGCTGTTGAATAAGCGGGGTACCCGTGGGCTGATGTGTGCTTACTTACATGTGAAACTGTTCACTGCCGATTAGTAAGTAAGCACACGTCAGCCCACACTTACCTGCACTCACTGGGCAGTATGACCCTGGCAGGGGTTGGAGATTGGAAGAGAGGCTTTGATTCTACAGGAAGGAGCTGTGGGGTTAGGAGAGATACCAGCCAGACTACAAACAAAATCCCTGATCTGGTGAAAAAATGTGAAAATGTTCACTACAGATTAGTTAGTAATTGCAACTAAGCCCGTGCTTCCCTTGCTTATTGGGTTACCAGACACTGTACAGCAAACTGAGGGAGACCCCTAACATGGTCAAATGACACTTCTCGTTTTCATTACTGTCCACAGTTTCTACAACAGGCACAGGCTATTTTTATCATTAGAAAGACCTCAACAAGTGTGAGATTTGCAGATACAACAGAGGGTGCTTACCGGAATGGCTGGTGGCAGTCTGCGTGCTTACTGGGGTCCCATCTCCATACAAAAACGACATGTTTTTGTTTATGAATTCACATAGATGGGCCCACAGAATACATATGTTTGGTGAGTGCATTTGGGAAGGAACTTGCACTTTGTTTTAATATAATTCTGGGTTTGATTATACTGCATTGAACATAAGATTTGTGATTTAAAAAATAATATAAGCTTGCAAAAAACAGACCCAGCAATGTCACAAACGTCAGAAACTAAACTCAGGATGATTTAAACTTAGGAGTGAGTCAAGATCACAGGGCAGAGCTGAAGCAGCAGGGCTGGGCCCCACGGCGCAGACTCGGCCCCGGGCCGGGCACAGCTCCCGCCCGCACCGCTCGGCCCTGGGCGCGGCGCCCACCTGCACTGCTTGATGAACTCGATGTTGGTGTAGCGCAGCTTGCCCAGGCTCTCCTCCAGGTACTGGCGGAAGCTGCGCAGGGACACCTGCACGACGTCAACGTAGCTCAGCAGCTCCCGGTGCAGCGTGCTGCTGAGCATGATCAGCCTGCGGGGCGTGGGAGGGGCGGGGCGGTGACCGGCCTGCGGGG